AGGATAGTCCAGGCACCACCGATTCTTGGATTTATCCAGGGTGTAGGCAAAAGCTGGTAGGCCTAGTTTGTCCAAGATATGAAACACATCTTTTGAGTTGTTATAGAAGAACTTTGCATCAGCTTTACGTAATGCGGCCAGAGATAAATTTATGGTCTTATTCATTTTACATAGAAATAAAATTTGTGTCCGGTAACAATTATGCAACAAATGGGGTAAGCTCATTTTTTAGAAGTGATACTTTGATTTTTATCCAAATAGATAAGACCGTGAATTTTGAAACCTTTCAATATGTGAGAAATCAATTGAAAATTCCAAAAAAATAATGAATAATAAGCCTGCAAAAATTAATGAAAAACCCATGTTGAATGCAATATTCAAGGGGACTTGATCAACCAACTCCCAAAATTTGGAGAGTTGACTCCCAAACCCGGGTTTTCCCAAAATTTGGGAGTCAATTCCCCAAATCCATCAGTGGGTTTGGGAGTCAGCCCCCCAAAAAAGATTTAAAATAAAAGAAAAACCCTGGAGGGGTTGGGTGTCAATGCCCCAAAACCAAGTGGTTTTGGGGGGTTGATGAACAAAAAAAAAGCGGCCAGGAGGATTCCTACTGGCCACAGAGAGTGCTCTCTTGACGGCCACAACCTTGATGGCCAAGAAAATTTCTCTTGGCCGTTGAGTATAACCCTCAACAGCCAAGAGTGTTTCTCTTGGCCGTTGAGTATGACCCTCAATGGCCAGGAGTGTTTCTCTCGGCCGTTGAGTATAACCCTCAACGGCTGAGAGGGTTTCTCTTGGCCGTTGAGTGTAACCTTCAACGGCCAAGAGGGTTTCTCTCGGTGGTGGAGGGTGTACACCTCAACGGCCGAGGGAAACTTCTTGGCCATGGAGACCTCTCAGCCTTTGAGGGTGTACCCCTCAACGGCCAAGTGAAACCTCTTGGCCATTGAGGGTGTATGTACACCTCAATGACCGAGAGGGTTTCCTCTCAGTTGTTGAGAATGTAAACCCTCAACGGCCAAGAGTGTCCCTCCCGGTCATTGAGGGTATACACTCTCTACGGCCAAGAGGATTCCTCTCAGCCATCAAGGGTATACATTTTCAACGACCAAGAGGAAACCCTCTTGGTTGTTGAGGTGTACACCCTCGATGGCCAAGAGGTTTCACTAAGCCTCCCGGCCGTTGAGGGTTATACGTGAGAGAAATTCTCCCGGCTGTTGAGAGAGCACTCTGCGCCTCTCCCTAAAACCACTTGGTTTTGGGGCATCAACACCCAACCCCTCCGGGGTTTTTCTTTTTTTTGATTAATTTTTTTTTGGGGGGGCTGAATCTCATTGGGGAATCAACTCCCAACTTTTGGGGAAACCCATGTTTGGGAGTAGGCTCTCCAATTTTTGGGAGTTGGTTGACCAAGTCCCTATTCAGGAAAGGTTTTCATTTTCATGCAAATTGATTATCAACATCATTTTTAACATGTCTTAAATTGTGGGAAATAAATTTAAAATGTCAAAAAATATTGAGAAATAACATGTAAAGTATTAATTGAAAAAAGTGTGTAATTTCAGTATGAAAAATGAACCATTTATTTTCTTTCAAATTGGATTTTACCATTAAATTCTAAGCATTTTATAGTGTAGGAAACAACTGTAAAATCTAAAAAAAATCAGGTGTTAGAAATTAATTTAAAAAACCTGTCCAAAAACGGAATCTGTGTGTGCTGCGCAGCGCTGCACTGCTGCAAAACAACATCAAAACGCGGAAAAAACGTGTTTTTTTATTAAGGCCCTCTATTATTTTTATTTGCTATGACAGATTGTCTCTGCCATAGTAGCAAGCTGACATCTTGGCTGCTGAAAGGTCATGGGGGGCTCACTCCTCTCTTTTAGGGGGTTTATGAGGTGCTTACAGGGCTCAGGGGCGTCCTGGGACGCTTGGGTGGGATGCTAGGGGCTCTGGGGTGCCTTGTTGCGCTTCACTGCACTCTGGGGTGTCTTGTTGCGCTGGGTGGGCTGCTATGGGCTCTGGGGTGCTTCTGTGCTCTTCACTGCGTTCAGCGGTGGGCCGCTACGCTACACTACGCTACGGGCCCATGTAGCGTTAGCGTAGCGGCGCCATTTTTTTTTTTTTTTGTGTAGTGTTAGCGCATCGCTACGGCCGCTGCGCTACGCTAATTTGTAGCGGCGCTAACACCAGGCATTTTTTGGTGTAGTGTTAGCGCGCCGCTGGCGCCGCTACGCTACAGCGTTTTTAGCGGCAACAAACACCAAAAACCCGCTAAAAATCGCTGTAACGCAGTGTAGCGGGCAGTTTTTGGCGGCCTGTGCGTGTAGCGTTAGTGCAGATGGGGGGAATCGCGCTAACGCTACGCTAAACGTTAGCGCACGTTTTCGCCCCATTCGCGTAGCGTTAGCGCAAAAAATGAAAAAAGTGCTAACGCTACGCTAAAGTGTAGCAATTTTTTGCTACGCTAACGCTACGGTTAGCGTAGCTGGCCCACCGTTGCTGCGTTCTTGGGCTTCTCCGGTTGAATGGAGAGGTCCTGGGGTTTTTGTGGGGTTGGGGGCTTCCTTCTAGAGCGTCAAACAACGGTCCGCTCCATCCGGGATGTCTAACAGCAAACAGTGGGTCTGAGGGGTTCCAGGGAGGTCTAGGAATGTTCTGGAGCAGTTTCCAACTGTTCAAAGACAAATCTAAGGGTGTGTGGGGGTATCCAAGGGTCCAGTGACGTTCCAAGCGATCCAAAAAACCAACAATCCACAACAATACAACACAAAAAACAACTCCTGGGGGTCCTGTGAGTTATGTGAGGGGTAAAGAGGGATGCAGGATAGTGAGTAATAAGGTTGAGAGGTAGGATAGACAATGTTTTAGGGGTTGATTTTCAAGGTTTGAGAGGAGAGTTTTCTGAGTTGAATTTCAAGGTTCAAGGGTTGGTGTTCCGGGTGTTCTGTCCTGGTCTCTGTGTAAGTTGATCTAGCAATATGTTATAGGTGTTCTGGGGAGAGAAGGTGAGAGTTTTCAGGGTTCTGAGTCTTAATGGTAGATTGCAAGATGAGGAATGTACAAGGTGTGGATCTCAAACAAACTCCAAGTTCAAGGTTTGTGACATGTACATAACAGGCTCTCTACATATGTAATATCCCCAGTTCCAGTCCTCCACAGCTCATAACAAAACCTTCTCCTTCCTCTGGAAAACAAAGTTTCTAGAGGGAGGAGAGATGAGTGACCTCTCCTTCCTCTGGAGCCAACTGGTTCTAGAGGAAGGAGAGATGGGTAACCTCTCCTCACTCTGGAAAAAACCTGTTTTAAAGGCCGGAGAGATGTGTAACCTTTCTTCCTTCTGCAACCAATCAGAAATGATATTTTTTCTGGCTTGGTTGTTTGTTACAGGTGCTGGCCTAGTTAATGCCAAGGTGGAATGCAGGGACACTCCAAGGCCATCAAAGCTTTGAAAGTGCAGATGGATTTCCAAGTGGCAGGGTCTAGGAAACTGGCACCAGGACAGCAGCCCCCACAGATCAGAGCATCCCAGGTGCATGCTCCTCCACAAATAAAAGGCCAGCCCTGGGACGTCCTTGTGGGGAATCCATTTGACATCCCCCAAACATCCTACTGATGGCCAGGAGGTATTTGAGGGCCATCTCCTCCTAAATTGTACATCCAGAGGATGTTTCAACCTGGCGTCTCTGAGCTGTCACCCAGACAGCATTACCACATGTTTTTGGCAAATAAATGTCATTACACAACCACCAGCAATCTTCAGGAAACCCCCCACACAAATGTGCAGACAGTGAATCAAATTGTGAAATGGTGTTTATTGTCAAAAACCCACAACCAGTTGTTTATGTACAACAAAAAAAACTAAAAAACCAAAAATTCTGATTTAGAAATGCACCAGTGCACAACTGAGTAAAAGAGAAACAAAAACTGTGTACAAGAGAAAATAATAGGTCCGCGTTGTGATGGTCCAGGCTGTTGTGCGCAACAAAACTGCCAAAACCCCTACCTTATAAACCAAACCACTCACATATATGAATATATTATTGCATAATCAGAATCTACATACAATTTTACCCATAGTCACTCACTACAACTATACCTGTATCTCTATTAGTTTAGAAGATAATCCAATATAAAAGTTAAGGCCATACTCTAACTATTCATTAATAAGTATTTCATAGTAGTTACCACATATATATAAGTACATACACATAAATTATGACATCATCAGGCCTCCAAAAGTAGTGCAGATAATTTATGCAATTCTTGCATGCATATGTGCAACCATTAGGCCTCCTCTTAGTAACTTAATTGAATTTACGCAGACTTTGCATAAATGCATGCAAACAGAAAAAACTCCACCAGGCAGTGCAACCAGTTATGCAATCCTTACATACAGTAGTACCATATTTAGTTATTTCCACAGCAAAATTAGCTCAATGCATGTACCCTTTGCAGGAGGCAGTGCAACACACAAGGTCACCACCAGAAAAATCACCTCAACTGCATCACCACCAGAAAAAATAACTCAGAGAAGAATATATAAGGAGGCCCCTCCTTCACCAATTCCTCCCATCATCACCCAGCCAGTTCCTACACCACGGGTCAATTTTTTTTCCTGAGCTCGTGTTGGCTTGGCCCCGCAGTCAAATTTAGGTTGGCCCAGGTCAGTGTCGACCTGCATCCCCTGTATTTACGCAAGACGCAGGCCCGACAGAAACACAGGGTCTGGCCAACACATCCCTAACCCAAGTTCCTTGATGGATCAGCCAACCCTCCCGACACCGCTTTTGTCGGCTGGGTTGGCTTGACTGGATTTGTTTGATGGTGAGCAGCTAGCTTAGCCAACAGACTTCAACCATTGCAAGAAACCCAACAAAGGCCAATGGTTGGGCCAACTTCAACTTTCAGCGGCCAACACTGCCCTCCCCTTGAATCCACAGCTCACTCAAGAACTCTCGTTGCCAACACCACCAACAACCAACTCACACAAAAAAATGATGCCCAATCAAAAACTGTCCCACACGCCAGAGTTCGAGATCCCACAAGCTACTGAAGCGGTTTCGGCACCCGGTTCACCTCATCCAACCGAAACCAGACAACGTTTGATGACTCCTACCAAGGACACTGGTAATTTTGAAGAAAAGCCTGTGGTGGCTCCAACCAAGGAGTCTGCCAAAGAGGTGAAGCCTAGGAAGGCCTTTCTTTGTAGCATCATATAGCTGCAGTATTGCAAAACTAATACTTTTTTTTTTTTTTTGAATGTTTCAGAGAAAAAATTCCCTCAAGAAGCAAGTCTGTTGCAGCCGTTGTATCTTTGATCAATCTCACAGGGACGGAAGCTTTGCTACGTCAGCCGGTTACTGCTTAAAAAATGATGGACATCAAGAAGGCTCATGGTCCAAACGCCAACGTAACTGAAGTCACTTCATTGCCTACTTGGGTCAACATCAACAAACCAAAAAAAAATTACTCAATGTTTAGCTTATAAAAAATGTTCACTCACAATAGCACCATTCCTGTATCAAAGTTCAAATCAAATCCGGGTCCATTGTTGTTCTTGTGATTGTTGACAACTTGTTTTTAGCTTTTTTTTCTTTCTGCTCAACGTGAAGCGGTCCAGGTGAAACAAACACAAAGTCTGAGAATGTATGATGCCAAACAGCCGATGAGAGCAAAGCTATATTGAAAATGTATCAATTGTTGTCCGTGTGTGTTAACTCTAGCTTCTTCTTTTGACTTTTACGTCACTCAAAAAATACATCCCCAGCTTCTGTTAATTTACATCCACCATTGTGTTTTGTGGAATGGCTTCTGCACCTGCCAGATGGATTTGATTGATCCAATATGTTCAACTTCTTGATTTTGTCTGGCATTGAACTACAAAAGAAGAGAAGATATGATTCAATGCCACAAAGAGAACTTTAAATTGTGTCAAAAAAAGAGAATGGATAAATACCAAAATGAAATAGTTTTTCTTGAGAGCTTGCTTTTCATTCAAGATCAATTTGGATATTTGTTGAATATTGTGGCCAGGATTAAAATTCTTCAGGTCTTCAGGAGTAGGGATTTGTTCATGTTAGGGGACTGGAAGTTTCTTAACAAAAGGATAGGTGAATTTCTGAGAAGATAAAGAGTTATTATAGTCCAAAGTTTTCTGGATTAAGGGGTTATTT